CTACAATAAACAATATAATTTTAATATTTTTTGTTATTACTAGAAACCTGTTCATCAAATGGTACCTACTTTGTTGCCTATTATCCAAGAAACTTGCATGGAATTTGTATCATGGTTCATTAGACAACAGGTTGAGGTTCCACCTGAAAAATTAAAACATAACAGAACATGGTATGAATCAGAAGATGATATTATAGGAGTTACAGAAAGGATTCTCAGTACCTTGGAAGATGCTTGGAATAACACAGCATTTAGTCACGAATTTGCAGAATCACTAAATGAAGGAACCTATGTGACCAATGTGATAGTCCCTGCGATTTGTGCTTCATTAAAAAATCTTCCTTATGGGAAGTCCTCATTTGTTAGCACTTCGGAAAGACAGAGTACTGCTAGTGCTGATAGAAAAGGTCATATAGGACGACGACCTGACATTATGTTCGTGATAAAATTCCAGGAAAGAGTTTATGAACTTATGTACTCCGAATGTTCCCGTTTATTCTGTACGGAACAAAAAAAGATAGATGACGAAGTGAAATTATGGCGTGAAACTAATGATGGTATGTATTGGACACGTAAAGGACTCAAACCAGATAAAGATGAGTTTGGAATTGTTGGAGTGCAAATAGCAGGGAGTATCTAAATGTTCTGATTAGGGATAAGGCTGATATTCATAGATATTACCATATACGATCAGCTGAAATTCCTGTACAATTATCTAATGAAGATATAGTAACTAACTTTGTTGAAACTTTATTAATTTTATGGAATATAATAATTACAAACATATCTCTACTATTTCATGCGTCAGTAACCAGATCACAAAGACATATAGAAAAAAGTTCAACAGTGACTTCACCATAGGTTTGATTTTTATTTCTTACTTATATTTCTTTGAATTTTATTGCTAACAAACTATTTATAAAAAATATGAGTCATATACTCCATGTATTAAAAACAATAAACCAATTTATTTGCAATGCATATTACCCTCTCCAGTTCTGCTATGAATACCTGATTTGATGTTATTCACCTCTAAATATCTACATAACTCTCCATAATCAAATACTGCCTTCCTATCTTGCGTGTTCCTATTAATTATAACTATATTTTCACCTTCTATGACATGCATATATTTAATCAGATTCTTAAATTGCATATACTGCGTAGAATTTGTGGTAAATTTACCTTGAGTTTTATGTCTGTTATTTCTAGATTTGCGGGACATATTAATATCCTATGTATAATGACATATTATATTAAAGTATTAGACACATTCAATTTTTTTTTCTTGTCAAAAGCGATCGGTGTAAAGATTCTTTATGCACACGTGATTTTGATGAAAATAAAGCATGGACATCCACATAATTCGATTGAGACAAATGGTTACATAGAACCTTACTTTATTGATATATAAAAAATGTTACCGAAATAACAATATAAAAATAAATAAAAAACATATCGCAGTTACATACTGCAGACGTAAATAAAAAAATAATTATTATTCCTTTGGTTTTATGAGAAGGTTAACTTGATTTAGGCTGGTAACTGGAGTAGCATTGAAATATTCAGAAACCTCGGCTGTCGACTCCATAGGAATAATTGCGTAGAGATTGAAATTAATAGAAAGCTCTTGGTGACCTTGATTTACCAACAGACCTTCAATCGCTTTTTAAGTGTGGCAACCTTATCTTCCTTACATATTTCAATATTAAAATATTCACCATCTGGAAAACGACACTTGAGACTAATAGGATTGGTCATTTTGCGTTTCCTAATATAAAGTTCTGTAATAAGTAAAAATTCATTTACAATGGATAGTGTCCTTATTGCAAATAATGCATAATGAACACCAGCAAACCAAACACGTTACCTTATAAAAATTGCGAAAAGATAAGAAATGATGCCTCACAAATCCAGTTTATTTATATCGCTTCATTCACTACTCGCTAGAAAAAAAAATACATGATTAGTAATTATGTCACCCCAACCATTTGCCAGATCCTTTCTTCGTAAAGCAATTCTATTAGAATCACAAGCGCCAAGAACTGAATATATTTCACCTTTTATGGGAATTAAACCTTTCAGAATGACGATCGCTTTTGTAGAATAAAAAATAAGACAAATTTTGGCGATCTCGGAAATGGTGAAGATCTCAAGTTCCGTGACATATGAATTTTGATATTGTTACTGATAAAGAACAATAAACTCTCCTCATTCATATCATTTTGAGTCTCATTTGTATTTTTTCTTATCGGTAAAGCTATATACAGTTTTATTAATTCCATAATCTATATAGTGAGAAAATAATTTAGCGGTATCACAAATTAATCTCGTGGAACAAAGACTCAAATAATTATATGAATCGTTATTTTTTCACGAAAAATAAACCTGGTTCTATCATTATATCTTACTACAACCAATATACATGTACATCTCACTCATTCCCATCACAAATACCCCCACAAAATATGGCGAATATAACACTCTTGAAGAGATGGTTGGAGAATCCAGGCCCTATGGGGCGCTCTTCGAGCATCTGGACTAAAATTGAATCGTATTATTCTAGAGTATAAAGTTATTAAATCTAATAGGTCTAAATCCTTAAATTCGACATAATCACATAATTTCGAAAAACACTATAAATAGTTTGTATAAAATGACTAGCTTAAGTGAAAGACGTGGAACCAATTGTACCGATGCTGAATGGGATGAAATTCTGGAGATGGGTATTGTTTTATCGAATGAGACTCCTACCGAATGGGTGAACCGAATTTGCTCTCGCTTACAATATTTCAGAGAGAATGATCTTCTACCTACCAATAGTAAAAAATATCTTGAAGCCAGAAAATTAATAACATATTGGTCTGAGGTTAATGGATTTTATAAAAGCTATGCACCTGAAATCAGTATTGCTATCTGCTTTTCTTGTAATCAATTAGTATATACTGGAAAACGAACCAAAAATATTGGAAATTATAATCACATAGGAATGGAGAAACATTGGGCTTCTCATTGTATGGGAAATGCATATTGTGGAGTAAATTATGATGAGTACTTACTGAAATTGAACAAAATCTATTTCAGGGTATATCTATGATAATGAGTATGCATTGCATCAATATGAATTATGGATGTTCAATGCTATCAAGAAGGTTAAGCGTGCAAGAGAAATTGGTAGAAAAATTCTAGCATGTAGAATTATACAGAGAAAATGGTTAGAAATTTTCTTCAGACCCGAAGGTATGTGTGCCAGTGTATAAAATTCAATGTGCGGAATGTGCGGGTGTAACATCATACATTAGCAGTTTTCTGCAGATAGTTTCTAAATTTGTAGAAATCTGCTTAGTTACACACTGAAATTTATACACTGTCGATCATATTGTAAAAAGGGGTGCTATCTTTCAAGGCTTTAACAGTAATACATATGTAACTCGATAAGTCAGTCATGTGGGGGTGAGCTCATATGGCTGACTTATTGAGTAAACTGACTTATCAAATTAAATTGCCTAAATATTAAGAAAATGGGGTAAAAATTTTGGCTGACTTATTAAGTTTACATATGTAGTAATAATGACACCTTGCATTAATGTGATGAGAAAGACCAATTGAAAAAAGCACAAAGCACCAACATGTTAAAGACTATAGTAATTGGGTGTGGTTGAGCATTTGAATGATGAATGCCTTTATTGTTAGTGGATCTCATTTATTTCTGTTTTTAACATAATATTATTGTACTATTAAAAAATAGCTAGTAAAAATAATAGGTTTTAAGGTGGTGCCCAGGATCCTTTTTTTATTTTGGAAGTATTGAATTTTATATAATCTTCAGAACCTATAATCTCTTGTGTAATTGTTATATGTAACAGGTCTTTTTTTTTTGAAGAATATGAAAAAGAATATTCCCCATCAAGATATCTGCCGGAATTAAAAATTTGGTTGCAATTAGGTTGCAACCACCATCAAAAGTTGTAACTGGTATACTTAATCATCACTAAGATTACTAAATGGGACATTTAATTTTTCATAATCAAGTTCTCTAATAATGAACATTTCAAATTTGATGATTCAAATGATAAAATCAAATTACAACCATTATAAAGAATTTCAACAATAAGTTAGCAAATCTTGGGACTATATGAATTTCTAAATATTTAAAAAGTCACTGTAAGTTCTTGGATCAAATTCTTATAAGCCTACCAAAAAATAGTCAATAGTTTCAAATCATAATCACAAATTTACCAGAAATATGGATGCCCAGATTTAACATTCATTATCAGGTAGGTCCTATGTAATCACTGGCAGAAATAAACAAACTTATTTTTTTGCAACTTTATATTATAATCATGTGACACAATCAGCTTATTGTTTAATAATAAGAATAAATCTACCATGCCTCTAAAGTTGGTATTTGCAACTGATTTGAAATTCTGCAACCAGTCACGACCTAGATTGAAACATCCCAAATTGCAATTTCTTAGTTGCAGACACCAACTTTACACGCCTCAATAATTCTTGTTTTAAATATAGCTGTTTTGACCCGTGATAGTTTATTAACCTGTTAAAATTAATATCATAAATTTCCCTCTATTATTATATGTAACAATTACTGTTAGTTTTTTATGGATATAAATAAACACAGTAAAAATAAATAAAGTCAATAGCTACCATTGTGGTTATTAAAGAAATAAATTTACACTTAATAATATTGTTCTTCTGGGACACATTCTAATTATTTTATATATTTAAATGTATGAATGTTATACCCACAATCCGGGACCGCTCATTAAATAACAGAAAACTGACAAAATTAACAGTTCATGTTTTTGTAAATAAATATAGTTTTTACTTTTGATTTAGATAGTTTGATATAAAATTTTTTTATGTAACATAATAAATGCATGACTTTCTATGGATGTGAAAAATTGATTACTATTATTACTATGAAATTTAAAAAATTTGCCCAGATCAGCATTAATTAAATCCTTTCCTTAACTCGTGGATCATGATTTAATTTCTTCTTGTTTATTTTCAATAGTTTCATCATCATTTTCTTGCTTAATTTCGTTAATAGTTTCATTCTCTTTTTGTTGTTTCTCCACTGTATCAACCTTGTTACTTTGTTCTGATTCCTCCTCCATTTTATCATCTTTGTTACTTTGTTCTGGTTCCTCCTCCATTTTATCATCTTTGTTACTTTGTTCTTGTTCCTCCATTTTATCATCTTTGTTACTTTGTTCTTGTTCCTCCATTGTATCATCTTTGTTACTTTGTTCTTGTTCCTCCATTTTATCATCTTTGTTACTTTGTTCTTGTTCCTCTCCTGAATCAACATCATTCTCTTTTTCTTGTTCATCCATTGTATCAGCTTCATTCTCCTTTTCTTGTTCCTCCATTTTATCAGCTTCATTCTCCTTTTCTTGTTTCTCCACTGTATCGGCTTCATTCTCCTTTTCTTGTTTCTCCACTGTATCGGCTTCATTCACCTTTTCTTGTTTCTCCGCTGTATCAGCTTCATTCACCTCTTCTTGTTTCTCTGCTGTACCAGCATCATTCTCTTTTTCTTGTTTTTCTAATATATCAGCATCATTATCACTACCTTCAGGTGGTGGTGGAAAGTATAAAGGCAATAATCCCTCGTATATTTTTCTATTACTTTCCTCAAAAACACAAAAGATTATTCTATCAATCTATTAAAAAAATATCTAGCTCAGTTAATTTTTATCCTAGTTTCAAAAAAAAAAGTTCATTAAATTCTGAATTATTATTTATACCTTTTCAATATGTTCAAAATCATCCATCCATTTTCTAATTGTTTTCATAGCCACTTGTGCAGCACCAACACGAGGATATCCATAAACACCTAATACAATATTTAATAAAATTTCTTATAAATATGACTCAACTTATTAAATAAAACATTAAAAACTTGTAGTAACTTAACAAACCTGTGCTTATATTTGAAAATGCCTAAATTTTAAATCATACACATATATTGTATTATTAGTAGATTGAATAGTATGGAGAATGATGGTGATTTTAAACTTACTATACTCTTAAGGTTGTTGTCAATCATAACTTCTAATGATCGTCTATAAGCACTATTGAGAAGTTCTTCGTGTTCTCCTACAGGCCCAACAGTATGAATAATATCTAAATAATTAAGCATTAAATTAGTAGAATAATTAAATAGGAAGTATAGAATAACTTCAGAATTTCAGTTATTTTCAATCTAAATAACTACACATACATTTTGCTGGTAAATCATAACCTAAAGATAAATGTGCGTGTAAGATAAGATGAATTATCCTATAAATATATATATATATATATATATATCAATTAATCATTTATTTACCTTTTGTTATTTTAGCATCCTATTAATTATTAATTATCATTTAAAATGTTAATTTCTAAACCTTATAAATACTTTTAATATTAAATATTTAAATCTTACATACACCAGTTGGACAACCTCCTAACTTCTGACATTCACTCCTTAATCCTGGCCCTGCAGCTCTAAATTTTCATCTCTTATCTGAGAAACGTTTTAATGATAACATAAAGTTTTTAAAAATAAATATTATAATTGAGTGTTCACCTGTGAATTGCTCCATCAACTAAAAAAAATTATTATTCATTTAATCAGTCAGTGCCTTGGAAATATATTCATATATTTAATTATGATGAATTTTCTCAATCCCTTACCTCCTCCTCCTCCCATGAGAAACTCATTTGCAGCATTAACTATTCATATATTGTAAAGTTATTAAAAAAATTTTTAAAAGTCATCAGTGAGCTCTTTACATACCAATTTTAAACACAAAGTGTAAAATATTCTTTATAATGTTGTTCAGGTAATGTTAATAACAATTAATATGTTATCAATTAAATAAATAAACATAGATATATGGTCATATTTCCTAATCACTAACCAATTGAGTCAATTTTCAATTTCGTAATGTCTTCTTTGCTTTTATATATA